TAGTAGGTAGGTAGGTAGGTAGTACGTATACTATACTATATAGTATCTCTACTACTACGTAGTAGTAGAGAGACTATACTCTCCTCCTCTCTTCTCTTCTTCTTCTTCTCTCTCTCTCTCTCTCTCTCTCTCTCTCTCTCTCTCTCTCTCTCTCTCTCTCTCCTCCCCCCCCCTGCCCCAGGTCCCCAAAAATGTTCCCATCATCATGTACTTAAAGCTATATAAGAAGTATTGTATCTTGTTTTTTTTTTTTTGATAAGTATTGTATCTTTTAGTGTTTTATACTATACAATATATAAATTCTAGCTACCGTTCGACGTCAAAATCTCTCTTTATCCACGTATGTTGCTTTTTATTGCATGCAATATGTATTCATATGTGTGCTTAATGTTTAGAGTTCAGACTTAATTTTTCCTCTACCATTATGGAATAATGTGAATGTGAGGAAAAAAATTAACTAAAAAAATAAAATAGATGTAACAAAAAAAAAGGAAAAATATCTCCGTACCCCTAATTTTTAGGTTTCATATCTCTATAGACCCAAGGTTTCAAAACAAATCTTGGGGCAAAGAAATCCTAGATTTTATATCTTCTAATTCCTGAGACTAACTTTAGTCACTTTAATCCTATTTTTTTAACCCAAACAAATTGTAAAAAGATAATCATTCATTTCTAAACCCATCATTTCTCTCTCTTCACATGTCAATCTCCCAAACTTCTCACTCTTTCTCTCCCCCTGTGACTCTCCCCAAGCCTCTTCTCTCTTTGCCTCTCTCTCTGTATTAGCCCCCCTCTCTCTCTCTCCATGTCCCTATCAAACTCAGCAATGCCTTTTGAACCACACCATGCTCATCCTTGATTTACCACCCAACGCCCCATAAGCTGGGTTCTATAGTGGTAGACTGGTTTCGATATGAATTTACTTCACATTTGAAATTTTGTTGAACTTTTTTTTGCTACCAATTGAGGGGCACCTCCCTAGCTCGTTAACATCACCCTAATGCTTCACCGTTCATAGGCTTCCATTTTGTTACATGAACCATTACTCCCTTTTAAACTTATGTCTTTTAAAGTAATACGGGGGGAGAGAGAAAGAGAGAGGGGTAATACGGAAAGAGAGAGAGAAGTGGCTTGGGGAGAGTCACATGGGGGAGAGAGAGAGAAAGAAGTTTGGGGATTGACAGGTGAAGAGAAAGAAAGGATGGGTTAAAAAAGGATGTCGTTCTACAATTTGTTTGGGTTAAAAAAATAAGATTAAAGTGAGTAGAGTTAGTCTAGGGGGTTAGAAGATATAGAACCTAGAATTTCTATGCCCTAATACATGTTTTGAAACCTTGGGTCTATGGAGATATGAAACCTAAAAATAGGGGGTACGGAGATATTTTCCCCAAAAAAAAACCAATTCAAAGTACATAATGTCCAATTTCTATGATGGTTATGCACTTTCTAGAATAAATTGAAGTAGAAATCTTCCTTTGAATGCTTCTAATGGTAGCAGGGTTAGTTGTGCTACCCTGGACGGCCTTTACTTTAAAATATAACTGGTAAATACAACAAATACAAATAAAACCATGGCATAGACATAATCGTATTTTGTCTTTATAATAATGAAGTCAAAATCACAATTGAGAAATACTTGTCGTTTGCATATAATTTTCCTAGTAGATTATTTGACCCTAAGTTCAATAGTCAACACAATCACTTTAAAATTTGGGAACCCTTTTAATAAGAGACATATGATATAGGTTTTAAAGTTGATAAGGCTCAAGTAATGTATGGCGCTTCCTGGTCCATAAAATTGAAATTTTGATTCTTTATAGGGGTCAAACGCATTCCATACTATTGTAATTCTCGATACAAACTGACATGGATCTCTAATCCATATACATCAAAAACTCGATTCCAAATATGTTGGAATCATGATTCTAAACTGCAACATATCTCTGTTCCACATATATCAGAAACTTGATTCCATAGATGTCAGAATCTCGCTTCCACATACCAATGAATCTTGACTCCTCAAGTGTTGATTCCAAGGGGACGAAAATCTCAATTCCAAGGAGGTCGGAATCTCGATTTCAGATGTGGATGAATTTCGAACCTATTGTGGTCGAGACACAATTCCAGGAATTAGGAATCTCATTCCCTGCAATTCCCATTGTACGGACGTCGATTCCTAAAACAAAAATCTCTAGGTGGCCGCAATTCCGCGATTCCAATTCTTAGAACAATTCGGGTTCCCAGGCGTTTCCACCAACTATGGGGTGCACTTTGCTAGAGACTTTGCTCATCCACAAATTATTTGAAGCATTAGGAAGGAATGAAATGCCTGCATCCTTATGGTAAGCAATAGTAGAGGCGATTCCAGCATTAGTTAGTTGTTGGGCCCTGGCTAGGCATGAGTGCAAGGGATTTAACCATGTGGAACTTCACAAAAGATTGGGCATCAACTATTCATAGGGCATGGCCAACAGCGACAATGAGGTTAGTTGGAATCCACCACCAGAGGGCACACTCAAAATGATCTTTGATGGTAGCTCTTGGGACAACCTGTGACCAGGAGGGTAGGTCTTGCTAGGGAGAGCTTTGGCCCAGATTTGATAGACCTACTCTGGACCAGCAGGTATTTGTGACTCTATGTTGAAGAGAGCTTAGTGCTTCTGACAGGCCTTAGGGAGTATCTTTCAAATTTGGGACCATTTATAGTGGGAAGGACACTCTTAATGCTATAAAAGGAACTAGTGGTGAGAATCTATTCCCATGGAGGGTGACATAATTGTTTGAGGAGACATTAATTCTAGTAAGGTCTAAGGATACGAGTTATATCCTTCAACATGACATTAGAGAGATAAATAGTGAAACAGATTTATTGGCCAAACAAGGAGTACAAAGGGATCATATTGTCAAAGAGTTTATATTGACAATATCTTTCAATGTGTATCTTCTTCCCCATTCATGATACATCTTGATTTTTGTCCGTAATCTTGGTTCAGCTTGATGCATACACTTTCACGATGAAAGATAGTTGATTATCCTAAGGCAAACCTTAGAGCCAATATGCCCTTTAATTAGCAATATTTTTTACGAAGCCAACTAAGAAATACACAATTGAACGACTTTGGAAATTAGCAATCTTTATGCCTTAACTATTCTCAAGAGGCCTAGTCCATAACAAATTGATGCACTCTCAAGGCCCATCCACGATTGTAAGAATCATGATACACATTGCGTCTTTCTAAGATGTTTCCCATATAGCATTATAGCAGGCACAGACCAAACAGAAAATTGTGTTCCTATATATCCATATTCAGGGCACTTCAACAAAATGTTGTTAACACATACATATGATCCAAGATAATTTCATTATTTTATTTTAAACCACAGTCACATTTTTCTTCTTTGTCTTTATCACAGAAACCAATGTAGTGCCAAATAATGCCATAATTCTTTCTGTAATTGATCATATAACCCAGCTGGTCATCCATAGTAACCAGATCGAAATTCTAGTGCCAGGGAACTAAACTTTTACAAATACCAAAATTAATACAAGCTACCCATAATTTGTAAAGATAAACCAATAAACCAATAGAAAGCTTCTTTTTTTAATATATCAATTTGAATGCTGGAAACATGAATTCCTGCAAAACTCCTGACCCATTTGATGAATAAAATGTGACCGATTAACCAACCAACAAAACTACTTGAAATCCCAAATTTACAAACTGAAAAATTATTTCACTGAATCGAAAGAAATTTAGAAGACACATATAGTCATAAATTATTATATAAATAATATAACATATACATCAAACAACACCATTGGAAGACCACCAACACATTCGACAAAGAAAAAAGATAAAAAAGGCACAGACCAATATCAAAGCAAGCAAAATGTTCAATCCATCCCATTGTAAAATTCACATCAATCTGTGAACAAATGCTATACAAAATGTAACTCAAATCATATATGAACTATCAAAATAACAGAGATTCATTCAAAGATATTTGACCAGATGAGAAAAAAAGGAAAGTGAAAAAACTTGGAAGTAATGCAAAATCCTATTGATGGGAGAGAAAAAAGAGAATCAATAAAAAAAAAAACTAATGACTGGAGAAAAATACTAGAGAAAGTAGAATCAATGGATGAGCCCACAGAGGAAATTAAGGGAAAGAGATAGATGTAGAGAGAGAAAATGGGGGAAAGTAAAAAGTGATGCGAATAATATGAATCTAAGAGATATCAGCAGATAATAGGACCGAACATAAGAAACCACTAAAGAACGAAATCGAGTTAAAGAGAGAATGCAATTAAAGAGAAACATAGAGCTAGAGAGAGAATGGGCGAAGTGCTCGATTGGTCGAGAGAGAAAATGGGGGAAAATCGAAATAACTAAAAAAATCAAGTGAATGAAAGAGATGATTGGGCAATCAATGAAACAAACCATCACAGAGGGAGAAAAATAGAAATGGAGAGAAGAAAACAGAATCAAAGCAAAAACCATACAAATAGGAGATGGGGAAAAAAGAATCAGAAGAAGCAAGTATATCATGGACAGAGAAACAGATAAAATCGGGGCAAGAGATCGAGCGTGTCTGTGTGTGTGTTTTAGAGAGAGAAAGTAAAGAAAAACGTACCTCTTTGGAGGCGAGCTCGGACTGGTAAGGCAGGACGAAGTTGACAGTGAGCTTGGATGGAATGGAGGAAGGGGTGGGAGGGCGAGGGGTCATGAAAGCTAGAGGCGTCTTTGGTGGGTCGAGGTTCGGGTTGATCTTCTGCCATGCCTGCACGAAGCTCGAGTCCTGGGTGGGAGTTGCAGGAACATCAGCGAAGGTGCGTGCAAGGGACCTCCTCAAGAGACGGGGAGCTAACCTCAACATGGTGCTCTCTCTCTCTCCGTAGATTTTGCTCTCTCTCTAGAATAGCTTCTGTAAGCGCCACTCTCTCTTTCTCTCTCTTAACTGCTTATTCCTTTTTTTTGTTGGGGGAGGTCAAAATGGGCTTGGGTTTCCTCGGGTTCACGGTGTTTCGGAAATCTATATCGTACAAGAAGGCAGATAATTTTTACAAGCCATTGGATGTAAAATTGTGGGGTTGGAGATGCATCTTTTACTAGATTCTAAAATAATTTTTTTTATTATTATAACCCCTAATAAAAGTTATTGTGATCTCTTTATACTAAAAATCAGCAATCTCCTACCATCCAAAGTGGATTTGTTTTAGACCTCCACTAACGGTTCGGTTAGATAAGCCGGTTTCAGTTTTGGGCCATAGGGTGATTGATCTGTATTTTAAGAAAAAATAAAAAATATATATATATATTTTTAAAAATAAGGTATTTGATTTAGAATGTATTTCTAAATATTCATTACATTATGGTAAAGATTAAAATTTATCGTTGTTATTAATACTCACTTTTAAATTTTCTCATCGTTTTTTAAAAAAATTAAAAATAGCCACTGAAAAATATAAAATGGGTTAAAATCTATTTCTTTTATTATTTTTCAATTTCATTTGAATGTGTTTTTTTTAATCATTCTTTATATGCTTTTTATATTTGGAAAAAGTTTATATAGAGTCAAGGCTCTAAACAATCAAATTTGAGCTTACCTCAAAAATTTCATTTGAAGAGGTTGTTTTGATGCTCAAATATCTTCAAATTGATCATCTCAACATTAAGATATATGGATATGAGAAAAAAATGGATGGCAAGTTTTGAAAATAGTGTATTTTGATTGTTTGTTAGCCTCAACCATATTTTTCAGTTGGGTTTCATTAGGTCTAAACCTAAAAGCTTATGGATAGCACTTCCTGTGGGCGTTCAGACTTAATTTTGATGGAAGTTCTTTTCACAATCCATGGTTATAGAAGTTTTTTTGGCAATCCAAGGTTAACTGATATTTGTGACATTTTGAGACTATGATGGTAATACTTTCTTCTCGTTTGTTGGGCTAGTATGGCATGCAACGGCAAACTTTGCTGAATTGCTTTGGCTTTATCAAGGTGAATTGCTTTGGCTTTATCAAGGTTTGAAGATTTTTAGATAGAGAAACTTTGGCCTTTCATGTTGGATAGAGGGGATTCTCTTAATGTGATTAAGTGTTGTAATAATGAACCGTTCATTCCGTAGAAACTTAGATCTCTTTGGTTACATGGACCTTACCTCTACCATTACGGTTTCATTCACTCATGTTTACCGCTAAGCAAACTCGATGGTGGGCTGTCTGGCCAAAGGGGGAGTATCTTTATATTATCTTGTATAAAATTATTAACATAAAAAAAAAGTTTTCGTAGATATATCGATCTATACTATTTTTCAAGCTTTAAACTTTATAAATAAATATGAAAGGATATTTTAAGGTTATTACAAAGATTTTATATATTGAAACTACATTTCTCGACATTATCTGAAATAAGAATCTAATTTGATTGTTTAGAGCCTCGGCTCTATACAAACCGCACCCTTCATATTTTAGTAGATTTTTTTTTTTGTATGTTTTTTATATTTTTTCAACACTTTTTTGACCGTTTGGGACTTGCTTAGTTAGAGCGCTTGAATCGGCCGGTTTATTAGTTAGGCCGGTTAAAACGCTTCCAGGCCCATGTCTGATTAACCGTTCCGGTTTGATTTTGCGAACACTGGACCTCCTATCAGCTCTCTATCCTCTACCACTTACACCTATGCAATAGGAAAATCCTCATAGTAAAATCCGATCAAGGATTAATTTTAAGATATTAGTAACTTCTTCAACCTATAAATAAATTTTAATAAAAAAAACTAGTTCTAATCTCAATATTGAATATGGACTGCCCAATTTTAAAAAAGTTAAATCTAAGGGTTAGAAAACTCAAAATTCAAACGAGTTTTTAGGTCGTTACTATGATTTTAGATTAAATAAAATTCCAAAGTTGGTCTTCTAACGACATAATTAGGATTAGATTATATGCTTCCCATAATATACACGCTCAAAAAGTTTATACAAGTTTGAAAATTGTAAAAGAAAACAAAAAAATTTGGAGAAGGTTATTTCACTGTTGGAAAATCATCTAATTTGTCATCGACTCGGCCTCAGGATGCATGGATATAGAGAGAATGGAAAGTATTTAAAATGATACATCTTAAATATATGGGATTGTTTACAAAGAGATCATATATTTATTGTACATAGAGGTCACGACCATTTTTGTCTCTTAAATTTCAAAATAGGTGGTTATAAGAGTGGTATTGAATATGCACAAAGTTAAAAAAAAAAATATTCTCGGATTTTGTCAGTTATCCTAAGCTATCTAATTTGACAGGTAATGTGTGGGGATGATTGTAATTTCATTGTATAAAAGATAAATGGTCTATTTGGTCGATGCATGTCCTCCTACGTTGGTTCATTTTTATTTAGAATAGGGGTGGCACCAAGTCGGGGTGACCAGGACCTTACTTAAAAATAAAAAATAAACTTTTTCCTATAAAAATTTGCCCTTTTTATTTTAAAAAGAATTTCCCTTTTTATATGCGGGCAAGTGCACCATTATTCAATGACCATACAAAAAGTGATCATGAGGTCTCTGCCATCCATTCTACGTATTCAACTTTTGGAAAACTCAAAATTTTAATTTTTTTTTTTAAAATAATCATCCCTAGTGATTTCCAAAATTTGACTAAAAGAAATTTTTTAGGATAGATTCGACTGTTGGGAAACCAGATGATGTAACCACTAACCGCTTGGTTAGATTGAAACTGTCCACTGGCCAGTTCTGATTTTAGGCTGTTTTGGTGATAAACCGATACTTAAAAAAATTCAAAAAAATATATGTAAACACTTAAAAATAAAAAATTTGGTTTATAATATATTTTTTAATATTATTTACATCACAGTAAAGATTAAAAATTATTTTGGCTATTACTACTCACTTTAATTCAAAAATCGATTTGTTAAATTTTATTTTTTCTTATTTTTCAACTTCATTTGAATGTGTTTTGTTTTAATAATTCTTTATATACTTTTCATAATTTTAGTAGATTTTTGTTTTTTTATTTATTTTATTTTATTTTTATTTTTACATTTTTTATTTTATTTTATCAGTGTGTTTCCGGTTAGGCCGGTGGGGTTAACCGTTCCTGTTCAGCTAGTTATTTGTTGGCGCTTTCAATCTTAAAAGATTTTGATCGGCTTGCGCCTAAATCTCCCTCATAGTTGTCATGGCTTCCCTTCAACTGAGTCCTGCCCCTCGCCTTTATCCCTCTTCATTTTCATCCAAAACCCACCTCAAAACCAGTCTTTGCTACAAAACCCAATTCTCAGTTATGCCCAAAACCACCCAAGTTTCTTGTTCTTATTCTCCTGAAAATTCTTCTCCTGTCATTTTATCTGTTGATTCTTCTACTGAGAGTTCTTCACCTAAATTATGCTGTGAAGTGGTTAAGGGGTTTTATAGCGGCATTAATCGCCACAATTTGGGCTATGTTTCGGAGCTTATTGCAGAGAATTGTGTATATGAAGATCTTGTTTTCTCCGAGCCCTTTGTTGGAAGAAAGGTTTGCATGGGTCTCTTTTCCCTCTTTTTTTTTTTCGTCTTATTGTTTGAAATTTCTTTGTGCATGGTCTCTCTCTCAGAGGCCTACTGTCTTCTTTCAGCTCCTTGTTAACCTTTTTCGTAATCTGTAAATATGGATATAATTTGTGAAGTTATTTCCATGAAATTGGCTACTCTCTCTCTCTCTCAAACACACACACTTTATCTCTCTCTCTGATGCATTCTGTTTGTTCTTCTTCCTTCTTGACTTATTTTAGTATCCTTTGATATTTAGTTGTAATTTGTGAGGTTTTTTCGTGAAATTTACTATTTTCTCTCTCTCTCTCTCTGATGCCTACTGTTTTCTTCTTCTTCCTTGTTGATTTTTTTTAGTATCCTTTAAATTTAGAGGTAATTCATGAAGCGCCCCCCCCCACCACCACCACAAAAACCAAAAAAAAAAGGAAAGAAAGGAAAACTTATTCCCATCTATTATACAACCTGGTTCTGAAATACCTGTGCTAGCCTCCAAGCAAGCTTCATCTTGCCAGCCAGGTTCATATCCTGTAGATGTCTAATACCAAGATCTCCCTCCTCAAAGGGAAGACATATACTCTCCCAATTTAGAAGATGCAGTCCCTTCATATCTGAAGAACCTGCCCAAAGAAAGTTCCGCTGACATATCCTAACTGGCAGAAGGAATGATAGAGTCCAGTAAATTGAGGAAGCACTTAAGACCGACTTAATCAACTGAAGTCTACCTGCAAAAGATAATGTTAAAGCTTGTCAGGATCCAAGTTTAGCAATTGTCTTTCCCACCAAAGCCTGACAATGGGAGTGTTTTAGAGCGCCATGAAAGAAAGGTAACCTAAGATATTTCTCGTAGATCCCCTTCCCCAAAATGAAGAATATGAATAATTTATGATTTAAGTCCATCACCACATCCAAAGAATAAAATTATACTTTTCATAGCGTTGAGTTTTTACCCTGTGGCCCCACATAAAGAATCTAGGATGTTACTTACTGCAATTGCAGCCCTAGGGGATGCTCACTGAAAATTAGGACAGCCTTAGGGGATGCCTCACAGAAAACTAGGACATCATCTGCGTATAGTAGTTGGGAAACCCCATAGTTCGAGTCAGAGGGAAAAGCTGACTGTAGGGAGCCATATTTAAAGGCCTCCTCCAATTGCCTACTTATAAAATCCATAACAATTAAGAATAAGTAAGAAGATAAAGGATCACCTTGTCGCAACCCCTGCTTGCTTCTGAAGTAACCTTTAGGCGAACCATTAACCAATATGGAAAAGCTAGGCGTACGAACACAATGCTTCACCCAGGTTATAACCTTATTAGGAAACCCCAAAGCTGCCAACCACTTCAACATAACGTCCCAAGACACCCTATCATAGGCACTTCATAGATTTAATTGGAGGCACATTTTAGGTTTGTTAGCTAGTTTGTGGCACATTGAAATAATTTCATTAGCCATCAATACATTATCAGTGATAAGTCTACCCTTCAAAAATGCTGCTTGATAGGGCATAATAAGAGCATCCAAGACTCTATGTAGTTTGCTAGCCACAATATTGCTCATGATTTTGTAAATAACATTGCATAGACCAATGGACCTAAAGTCCTTCGTGGTACGAGGTGACTTACTCTTTGGAATTAAATAAATAAAAGTACAGTTAACCGCCCTTAAGAACTTACCTTTGTTAAAGAAATCCCTGAGTGCTGCAAAAAGATCCTGGCAAATAATATCCCAACTAAATTTGTAGAACTCAACCTGAAAACCATCTGGACCAGGTGCAGTTTCGCTTGTCATAGTCCTTATACATTCCCTAATTTCTTCCATCGAGATCTCTCTAGATAAATCTTCTCTTTGCTGACTGGAGAGTAACCCCTCTGGTAAGAAATCAGAAAGCGATGGTACATCCTGTGGTGGACTTGATCTACCGGTGCAAGGAGTTCTTGAAAAAAGGACAATATATGGGATTCTACCTCGAGATGACTAGAAATAGCATTTCCCGATGCATCGTTAAGAAAGAAAGTCCTATCACTTTGACGCCTCACCAAAGTAGACATATGAAAAAACCTGGTATTAGAATCACTTTCTTTGAGCTAGACTTCCCTTGATTTCTGACACCAGAAGCTTTCCTCAAGAGAGAGAAAGTGGTTTATAGAGGAGGTGCAATCTTTTTCTTCTTGAGCCAAAGCATGATTTAGAGGATCTTTGTGAAGCAGGTCATGCAATTCTGATAATCTTTCACGGGACTCCCTGATTTTGACTGTGATGTCTCCGAAAACTAATTTATTCCACCAACTGATGTCACCCCGGAGACGTTTGAGTTTAGCCATAAAACGATACATAGGAGTACCTCCAATTCGCCCTCGCCATGAAGTTTTAATGAGATCCCTAAAATCAGGAGTTGACTGCCAGGCTACAAATATTTGAAAGGTTTGGGTCCCATTGGAATAGTCTTTTCAGGAGTCTGAGGTGCCCTTAGGTAATAACTTCAGGAAAAGAAAAAAATCCAATATGCATTTGCTATGGCCCGATCCAATCTTTCTCTAATACGTCTGCTGCCAATGCTGCTGTTAGACCACGAAAACCAGCCCCGAGAGGATCCAAGATCCATGAGACCACAGCCCACTAATACCTTTGAGAAGCTCTCTACATCAGATGAAATTTCCGCACTGCCTCCTATTTTTTCCGAATTGTCAATCATAGAATTGAAATCTCCCAGAATTAGCCAAGGACCAAAGATATTTATTTGTAAGTCTCTCAGGTGGATCCATAATAGTTCCCTGTCAGCTACAAAATTACTGCTGTACACCCCAGTAACATTGAATGAAGAACCTGTGCTCGGTCTGCACACCTTTATTGTGATGGCTTCGTCAAAAATGTGAATTATATGGACTGAGAATATATTCAGGTTCCATAGGAGAGAGACTCTGGATTTCCCATTCACATTATTCGCAACAAAAGAGTTATAGAAACCAAGCTTATGAGACCACTTATCCACTTTGTCATGGTTTAGTTTTGTTTCCAAAGAAATAAAATTCCAATTTCATGCTCAGACAAATTTTTTTAATGTCAGACAATCTACCATGGGCATTGATGCCCCTAACGTTCCAAGATAAGACTGACATATAATTAAGAGTTTAGTGGCGTACCCATTTTAGAAGAGCGGGCACTCATTGTAGAAGGTGAACTCTTGTGGTTCTTCACGGTTCGTAATTTTTTGGACTCCTTCAGATTTTTTGTCGTATCACGGTGAATTTCATGACGTTGAGGGTCAACAACAATCTCTATAGACTTTCCAGACTGTTGATTTATTGTATGTAAGTTCGTTAAGGGCAAGTCCTGCACATCGACATCGGAGGATTTATCAAACTTTCCAGCAACACCTTTTCGGCCCGATGGGACTGATTCAATACCTTCATTTTCATCAGACGAGGGAAGCATGTAGTTCGTCATGTGAATGGTATCTTTGTTATTACCCTGAGGAGCCATCACTCTCCCGTCCAATTTTTGTTTTCACTACAGCCCGTTATAGAGAGTGGTGTATTTTTCCTCTACTCAATGTGGCGCTATGTTGCAAAATTTCACCACCAACTTCCTTATTTTACTCCAAATCATTAGAGGTTGTATCTTCCACCAACTTCTGTATAAAGGTTTTGATTGATGCTGGAACGGAAAGGGCATAGGACTCATTGAAATCCCATCTACATCTGAAGAGATCAGAACTCGGAGTTTCTGAATGGTGACAACCATGCCCTCGAGTTCAGGGTTTGCAGGAACATCCACCATCCAATTAGTAAAGAATGCCACATTATATAAGATCAAAAGTTTATTGACTATAAGCATGAAAGATCATGAGCGATAGAAATGATGCTATTACAAAGTATCTTCCTTTGCTAATTTGAGAGTTCCTGTGGCCTCCTAGTATGATTCCCGAGTTGACTTCATACACTGGTGTATAAAGTTATTACATAGTTATGGTCATACGAGTTACTGTAAGTGCTATTTAAACTCCGCTGGTTATCGACTGGTATGGAAAAATAAATTCATCTTTCTTCAACATCTTTCTTTTCATTTATTGCAGGTCTGAATCTATAAGTGAACATATTGACCACACGAAGAAGGTATTTATGGATTTGTATACCTATGCTGCATTACAATATTGTCTTCCACTTGTACCGATTCCTAAAAATCTCCATAGCTCTCTAAGGACCATCGCATCTAGTTTTTTTACTTGTAATTTAACCCATAATTAGATGTATGATAATTCTGGAAAAATCATGAGAAGCTGTACTAATGTCATATATCTTGAGATACAAATCTGTCCATAGACTAAATATCTAGACATAACATAATTGCATGCACGATTTCTCCCTCTAGACAATGTTAAGAGATTGAATGGACTGAAAATGGTCAGATAAGACCTCATTCTCATAAAATGAATAAATGTGAAGAGAGACCTACATTTAGCTTGAGTGTGCCTTTGAAATCTTTTGGTTTGAGTTGTAAGTGAACGGTACTGTTGAATGACTGTGGAGAAATTTTGTAGTGACCAAGCTTTCTTAATAAGTACAGAAAGTAAGAGAATAAATTTTAAGAGATGATTGTGTTTTCAGCCAAATAGTCACTTGAGTTGTAACTGACACCACCAGTAGAATATAGGTTGAAAACCATTCCTCACTTCATTCAATCTGCAATATAAATTAAACTTGATCAAAACTTACAATCATGGACTAATATTGTTTTGGGATGTTAACTGTTGGTGATTTGTGATGCATTTGGCATGATCCGCCAGGTCAAAATCTTTGATAATGTGAAATTGTGTTTTATTGCTGTGGATCCAATCCATGACTTGTGTGACAAGTACCAACAATGGCCATGTCCCAAACCAACTGCCTCTGGCGGACAAAATTGTTCAAAATAGACAACATAGATATTTAAGTGTTTCTCTTTCTAAAGGATGACTCACAATCCATCTTAGTTCTGGGATGGTAATTTACAGCTGCTTTGCTCAACTTGAGTCTTGAGGTTTATTTTTATAATTGACCTCTTCTGCCTTTTTTTGGGAGGGTTCCATGTGAACTTATCAATTTCCTGTTTGCTGCCATCTCTTGAAAATTGAAATATTAGATATTAAACTACTTGTTTGATCATAAGTCTGTTCTTGTGAAGCAGGCCATTCTTGAATTTTTTAAGAAGTTCACTGATTCCATAACCACAGACTTGCAATTTGTTATTGATGACATTAGTGATGAAGATTCCTCAGCTGTTGGGGTCAAATGGCACTTGGGTGAGTAGTAGAGATAAATTCTTTTCATTTTTCATAGCATCAGATTTATGTTTTTGTTTGGTATTATCATTTAAATGGCTTTGAATCAAATCTCTTAGTGGATACTTAATCATATTCGTATTGATCTATGTGGTGTAATCACACAAACATTTTATAATAGAATGGCAGGGGAAGGAATTTCCATTTAGCAAGGGTTGTAGCTTTTATCGCTCGGAGGTATTCAATGGAAAAAGACAAATAGTGTAAGTTTTGGGCATACAAGTTGTCTGATATCATTGCCTGCTAATAAATACATGGAAGCCTGACGGCCATTATTTGAATATAGTTACGGACGAGATAGCGTTGAACCTTCCATTAAGCCTGGGGAGACGGCATTGGTATGCATAGGATTTCCCATATTCTTATGCAGTTGATTTATGCTATATGTTTATCATACTTTTAAATTGCAGATTTTACTGTTTAGCTAAATTCTTGGTTGTTACCTCTAATAGTTCCTCCTTTGCATTAATCAAAATCCAACTGATCTCATTATTTTCCATATCAGTGGAAGATTTTGGCAGGTATTTTCAGTGATGGCCATGGATAATGGCAAGTATTCTATACTCCAGCGGACGATGGCAGAAAACCATAATACATTGGGTCATTGTCATCCATTGAATGATGGATGGTGTTGGAGAATGAGTCCAATGTACAAGGAGAGGATGTGACCTCAGTGGTGGTTCCCTCTCTTTCACCCCACCACCCATCATTGAATTGGACAGCAATCAACTTAACGAACTTTGATTTTTCCATAGTCCTCTGGATCATAATGCACTTCTGTAGGATAGATTTATGATATCTACAAAATGGAAAACATGTTTTTTATCAGTCTCTAATGCATAATCTTGAAATAGTAACCTAAAAACAATATGTGGTGCATAAAAGGATTTCTTTTTCTTTCTCTGGGTGTAGTTACACTGCAGTCTGCAGATCCCCAACCATAAAATTTAATTTGAAAATTTGCATTATTAAAATTACAATTTCAGTTAAAATGATAGTTGGGTAGCACCATCACGAAATGCAAAAAGGAGTTATGGAGGAAAATGGTTTTAGTTGAGGCATTCTAGAGGAACAAGTTGTAGGAGATGCTACTTTTTACTGTCAATTTAAACAAAAAAATGGCGTACTTTTTACTGTCGATTTAAACAAAAAAATGGCTTGACGCTTATAGAAACATCTTTATTCTCTCATCTTTGATCCTTTTGCTAAGGCATCTAACCTTTGAATACACGTCGATTCTCTTGAATTTCCGGTGGTTTATTTAGATAAGTTTTTATCCCAGAAATTACAGTTTGAGTGTATTCTATATATTTTCATATTATGGGAATTTGATACCCGTATGAGATGCATTGTTTAACATTTTACACATTGGCAACTATTCCATTTTGGTCATGGTGCATTTTGATGAGTATTTTGAGACAAACAATATAGGTAAAATCTTAAATTGTTGATCTCACATGGGTATTTTGATAGGGAAAAGTTTATATAGAGCCGAGGCTCTAAACAATCAAATAAGAGCCTACCTCAAAATTTCACTAGAAAAGGTTGTTTTGATGCCCAAATATCCTCAAAAGTGATCATCTCAACATCAAGATGCATGAACATGATAAAAAAATGGATTTCAAATTTTGGAAATAGTGTATTTTATAATACATTTTGGGACCGTTAATTTTCAATATTTCTAAGGTTTTATAAATCTGTCGATCCACACCATTTTTAAAGATTTAAAATTTATAAATAAAGATGAAAATATATTTTAAGTTAATCATAAAGATTTTCAATATTGAAATCATTTTTCTCGACACTCTTTGAAGGTAGGCTCTAATTTGATTGTTTAGAGCCTAGGCTCTATACAAACCACACCCATTTTGATAAATTGCCCTTAATATTATTCCAATGTCTGCACTCTTAAGAAATTGGCTTCGAAAGTTCACTCACGCACCAGGAGTAATTTACAAGCAAAAGGAACCAGACTATAAAAACATGTAGTCTGTGATTTGGTGCATCTAGTTGGGATGATTTTTCCCCACTCTGAATAAGCACAACCTTCTTGACTGCATAAGTATATGATACGGGTTTTGAAGTTTGGCATGTAAATACTAGTTAAGATGCTTCTATATCTTGTGCAAGATATCTCCTACAAATGGTGTCTCTATTTCTTCTGTACAGCATGAAATTGTCGATATATGTGACATGACTTGAGCCCAGGCATCAAGCAATCTGTGTGTGTGTGTGAGAGACAGAGAGAGAGAGATTTAGTTCCCTGACAGATTGGTAATCTCCCGGTTTAATGAGCAGGTAGCCATCAAGGGTGTAACCTGGCTACTGAAACAGTTTCCACAGCTGGCTGACCGCTTATGAAAAGACTTGTTCCTGCTCATAATTCAACCAAGCTACAAGCATCAAATTGGGTCTTGAAAACAGATAACTTGTAATATTATATTCTGAGAATTAAGCCCTAGAAATATCATGTCTAGGGTCTTACACATAGTGGTTTTTTATTTATTTTATGTTGTTCATATTGTTCGCCATTACAGATGTAATTCAGTTCTTTCCAATAAACTGCTTCCATTTGATCAATCTTCATGTATTGCTTCCACCATTTTTCACTCCGGTATGGTACATGTCATTTGAAGTGCTAGATTTATTAAGGCAGCGATGCTACTGATATGTTCTATAAATTTGCACTGGAAAAATTTATTGATTAGCATCACAAGTTCTCCCCTTCTAGGACTACTTTTTTTTAAGTTTGCTGGGTGGAGGTCACCAACCAAGTGCATTGCTATGGATAAATACAATTTAACATAGATTATAGGCCTACTTGGAGGGGAAGAAAGAAAAGGTTGTAACTGAACACCCTCCCCGAGTTATATCACCTAAAGTCCCTTCTATTAACTGCTTGGTTTCTGAAACAGTTTCAATTCACCATAGATTGTAGACATATTTAAATTCTGAATTTTAGTATGCGTTCTATAATTCATGACAATAGAAAGCCCAATCATTTATAGATCAGATAGAAGCAATTTATTAAAAAATTATGAAAAAGAGAAAAGAAAATACATCTTATGAATCTTAAATACCCTCCAAATATATTCTGAAAATTTGGAATTATAGAATTGTCCATACTCCAATGAACCAAATGAATTTATATCTGTTTAAGTGTTAACCAAAATTGTTTCTATTCTGTCTGCTTCATAAAGAATACAAGTATTTTCTTTCTTTTTTTTGCTCTTTGGTTGGTAAGCTGGGCTTCAAGCCTAAATCCCAGTCGTTCAGGCCAATAAAGGCATCTCATATGTTATGGGTCATGCCTCAATATAATTGCTTTCATATACATTTCCCACTCTCCACAACATTCAATAAATCCTTTCTCCACCAACCGTTCACGGCATAAACCATCTTCTCTCCCATGAATACCTAAAATGTGTTTACTTTTAATCGATAAAATTTATGGGGTAACCCTGGTACCTCGAGCTTTGCAGCCAATGAAATCACTCTACAAATCTCTACAACCTATATCACTCATCACCATCATCAAATGCAAAATCCATGTTAGCAACATAGCCTGCCTCTCTCATTTGCTCAGCCAGACTCGCCAACGTTGCATAAATCTCTCTTGCTTGTGGGTTAGAAGTATCTCCGACGAGAAAGGGATGGAAAATGTTGTTCACCTCTATCCAAGTGCACCCTGGAGCCTTCCTAAGACCCCTATCTCTCATCATAATTCTCACGCTAGCCAACTTATCCCAAAACCCGGCAGCCGCATACATATTCGCTATCAACACATAATAACCAGGATTTTCGGGCCTCATATCCAATAGCTTCTCAGCTGCCCAACCCCCCACCTCTGTGTTTCCATGGATCCTGCAAGCTCCTATCAAAGTAGTCCACATAGCACTTGTTGGTTCAAATGGCATGCCTTTCATAATCTCTTCGGCTTCTTTCAGCAAGCCAGCTCTCCCAAAGAGGTCAACCATGCATGCATAATGCTCCATCCTTGGCATGATTCCATGATCAGTGATCATTCTCTCAAAGTGCCAGCGGCCTTGAGCTACTAAGCCAGAGTGGCTACAGGCTGAAAGGACAGAAACCATGGTTATATGGTCAGGTTTTATCTTGTGCTTTAGCATCTCATTGAATAGTTTCAAAGCTTCATTGCCCTTTCCTTGCATTCCGTAACCAGCAATCAATACAGTGTAGGTGACCTCGTCTCGCTCTTGCATCCTATCAAACAGCTTATGAGATTCTGATATTCTACCTGACTTTGCATACATGTCGACAAGGGAGTTCCAAATTAGAAGATGAGGCTCAAATTTATTTTTTATAATGTATGAGTGGAGCTCCTTTCCATGTTGCAAGTTAGCTACACGGGCACATAAAGGGAGAACACTGGCTATTGTTACAAAATTGGGTTTGTAGTCAGAGAAAACCATCTCTCTGAAAAGGAATGATGTTTCCTCACAAAGGGCCGAATGTGCATAACCAGCTATCATAGCATTCCAAGTAATCAAACTCCTAGATTTGATCCTCATAAACAAAATATAAGCATCGTCTAAGGCACCACACCTTGAGTACATAGTGATCAATGCATTTGTAATTGTCTCTATATCATAAAAAAGGAATCGAATTGTGGATGCGTGTATTTCTTTGCCAAGTTTTACACACCCCATATGAGAACACGCACTAAGGCCGATTGTTAATGTGACATAATCAAGTTCTACCAGCTTGCATCTCATATGAGATATCAGTCTGAGTGCCCCAATATGATTCCGGGTTTGCACATTTCCACCCAGTACAGTGTTCCAAGTCACAGTGTTGGCCTCGAGGCCATTAGTGTGCATACTGTCGAACATTTGAAAAGCTTCATTCCATTGCCCCAATTGTGCATAGCCCCCAATAATGGCATTCCATGAAATCACATCTCTCTCCATCATTTCGTCAAATACCTTACGAGCTGTTTTGATCTCTCCACATTTAGCATACATTGCAACTAAAGAATTATGCACAAAGACACTCCAATTGAGACAACTTCTCTCTACACATTTGTGTATCTCTCTTCCCATTCTCAAATCACTTTCTTCCCCACAAGCTTTCAAAACCGATGGGAAGGTGAAATTATCCGGATCGACTCCAATTTTCTCCAGTTGTTTATAAGCATCAATGGCTTCTCTGAAAAACCCATCTCTTACATAGGATGCAATCAACACATTCCATGGGATGACATCGCTAGAGAGAGGATTTTGGGCTATGAGGTGTGCATCATGGAGGCTGCCACATTTGCAATACATGGTCACAAGTCTGGTGATTATAAGAGGATTGTTGTGGTCATGGCCCAAGGTTATGATTTGGGCATGGAGTTGCTTGCCACTAGAGAGAGATTTGAGGGTTCCACAGGCATGGATGAGAGAGGAGAGAGAGTGGGGGTTTGGTGGGAAGCCATGGTGGTGGAGGAGAGAGAAAGCATTGAAGGCCTTGTCAAATTGGCCCTTGTCAGTGAAGACTTTGATGGATGATTGGAGAGAGATTGAGAGTGTTGTTGCCCATGTTTTTGGCCTGCCAAAGAGAGAGGCAGGCAGCATGGGATTTGTAAGAATTTGGGTTGTGGTCATGGGCTAAGGGGTCATCATGTGGGCACGGAGCTGCTAGATTTTACAGAGAGAAATGTGGGTTTCAGAGGCAGGGATGACAGAGGAGAGAGAGTGCGGTTTTGGTGGGAAATAGAATCCATGGCAGTGGAAACGAGAGATATTTGAAGGATTGTATTCTAGTCCTAAAAAATTTATGGAGCTGCTTGCTTTTAAAGAGGAGACAGAAGGTGAACAAGCATTTATCTCTGGACTCGGTATCTGTCAGTCCACGGAGTCACATGATAAATGCGGGCCCTTTAATCATTTATTTTTGAAATAGAATTTAATCCTAATTTTTAAGGAACATATAATTTTTAACATGCACATCATTAATATCTAAAAATAAATAAATTTTAAAAAACTATATTTTTGGGAAAAAATATTGGATTTGTTGATTTTACCTTTGATTTGGAAGACTATTATTTAAGGCGTAATATCTACACTTTTTTTTTAGTGGAAGGTGTAGATCTCCAAGCCCTGCAAAGTAATAGGTGTAAGCTTGCACATACCAAAGAATCTTGCACGTATCAAAGAATATTTTTTTTCTAGATATTACATTATTAAGATTAAAAAGTGGACATATGTTGTAAGAATAAAAATGGGCCAAGAGAGATGATGGGCAAAAAATCCTAGACTTAAGACATAGTAACCATGAACTGGGTCATTGAAAGATAAGAGAACCAGGATTTTTTCAAATATGTGAAAGTATATCCATTACTTTAAATAATTTTTTATGCCAAAAGTTATTTTCCTATATTTTAAGGTTATTTTAAATCTCTAAGTTATTTTCCTATATTCTAAGGTCCTATTTTGAGGGTGCTAAGTTCCTCCATTCCTAAAGTTTGGGCGTGCAAGCTCTCCCTAACATTTTTTCCTTTATGCTTCCAAAAATAAATCCCATCCTCTCTGAAAATTTAGATTTGCAAGTCCACTCCAAATTTTATTTTCCTTTCTTTCTAAATCTCCTAAGACGTAGATATTACTTTTTTTTTTTTGGTTTGATCTCACTCTTTTCTAAAATGTGGAAGTGCATGTCCTCCTAAAGTTGTTTCCTGTTTTTTAATTCAAACCTCCTATTAAAACTTGCAAGTGCACGTCCTCCCAAAATTAATTCCCATTTTTTAGTTTAAAACTACAAAAATTGGTATTTACTGGTTTTTGCGAATTTTTTTTGGCTTCTAGAATCAATCTATTATCTAGGTGAGGTAGTCTTTCTCTCACACAATCCCTATGTGTTCTCTCTCTCATCTCTGAATTCGTGGGTGGGAAATATCACCCTATTTATTGTCACTATACAAAATTTATACATAAATAATACCAATAGTGAAATTATGTAATAATATATTTCATATTGTAATTATATAATAATATAGTTCATTAATAATATAATAAGAGAAATGATCCTATAGGACCCTCCTTCACCTATGTGTGTAGAACCCTTAAGGATTATCATTAAATTTGACACGGATCTCTAAAAAAGTCATGTCTCACACCCATGTGATAACTTTTTTAGAGATCCGTGCTAAATTTTATGGTGATCTTTTGAGGTCCCACACACATGAGTGGAGGAAGGTCCTATAAGATCATTACTCATATAATAATATGTAATATATAATTATATAATAATATAATTCATCAATAATATAATAATATGTACTTATAGGCTATGGAGAAAACACAAAGGGTTACAAGTTGTACAATCCCATCATTAAAATGGTATGAGATGTGATCTTTTGATGAAAATAGAGTATGGGATTGGAAAAGTAATAAAAAAAAGAAAACTATTGAGGTTAATGAAGTGGAAGATAACGAAGAAATTGAGCAACAAGAAGGATTGTTGAGTCCTATTCGTGATTTTTCTTCCAACGGCCAATCTACTTCTTTAATAAGTAGTTCATCTCATAGGCCCACAAAAAACAAAAAGCTTTCAAAATATTTATTTGATTACTTGTAGGTTTGATGTTGAAAATGAAGATCTCACATTGCTTTGCCTTTATACAGATTTAGACCCTATTTGTTTTGATGAAGCATGTAAACGTAACGTGTGACACGGATGAAGAAATTGAAGCAATTGAGAGGGGAATGACACATAGAAGCTTACAACACCTCCCAAGGGCCACAAAGCCATTGATTTAAAATTTATATAGAAAACACAGAGAAATGTTATTGGTGATATCAAAAGCAATGTTGTCAAATTTGCTTCGAAGTCTTCTTCGGTTTGGTGAGAAAAAAAACCTAATGTTTCATGAGATAAGCCAACATATTGATGCATAGTTCCATTTCATTTGAGACAAGTTAAAGAGAAGAAAGTTGAATTTGTTTAAACAAAGACACATGATCAAGTTTCCGACATTTTTACAAAATCCCTTAAATATTCAAAATTTGAGGGGTGTTAAAAATAAGCTTGATTTTCATTTAGGACATTTTGAGTATTCTATTCAAATATATGAAATATTTTGAGAAATTTATGTTAAGGACAATTTTAAAATAATGTACTAAGAAATTTGTAGAATTTCAAGACGACAATTTCAAATTCTTAGTACATCATTCCAACGTAACAATTCCAAAGAGAGGATCATCATTCCAAAGTGGAGGATAGACGAGGTGTAGATAGAGTCTAAAAAGAAAATAAGAAATAAATAGAGTCTTGAAAGATCTTAAGAAGTAGATAGAGTCTAGAAAGATCTTAAGAAGTCTATATATCCACATACTATGTAGTGAAAAAATTGTATTAATTTGATCTCTTTGGTGTATATAAGTACAAATTAAAAAAAATAAGCATCATTCCTCCCAACTTCTAACATTGCATCCCTCTTTGTAAGTGCCCTTTCCTTTCGGGGAAGGGAAAAAGGAAACGAAAAAAAGCGGAAAAAGGAGAAAAAATAGAGAAAATTTGAAAAGAAAGTAAAGGGAAAAAAAAAAAAAAGAGAACTCAAAATTGTACTAATGGAAAATTATACTGCAACATGATTTACTTCGGTATAAAAGTTGGGGAGCTTAATACTTCCCACCGAAGGTGAAACTCCAAAGTATTCAAATAAAAATAAATGTGATACACTTTACAAGCTAAAATCTATAAGAAAATTTTTCAAAACTACTTGACACACTCTAGACTTTCAGATTTTACGACCAGCCTTATGACAGACGACCTTCAAAAGAATGAATATTATGTCTTTCTTAACCCTCTATACTCTTTTACATGGATCACGTAGGCTTCTTTCTCGTTCATTAAGGAAGCTTGTTTTTTATTTTCCCATAATACTTTCAAATTTTTTGAATGAAATATAGGTATGGTAATTTTGACTATTACTAAACCGAATACGAACACTAGCGTCACGGAGTCACCTCAAGGGACTCCGAATTAGAGAGGACAATTTTTATATGAAAAATTTTAAAAACTCAGTTCATTTGGCAGTTTCTCCCACAGAAGAGCCTAGCTTTTGATCTAGTACGAGTTGGCTGGGGTGAGTCCAGAGTTAGCCGATGTAATTTTCCAAGCACGGATTTATGCCCTCGAGGTTATGTTCCTTTCGTTGAATTCCTGCTTGGGTGACATAAAACAATATTTGTTTCTATCTTAAATTCACGGGAAAGTTCCATTTTGGGAAACTATTACCCTCTAAAATCTTTTGGCTTGTGTTATTTAATAGTTTGTGTTATACGAGACAATATTGTTTGGTTCGCTTCGGAGCTTTTTTTAGTTTGGCAGGAAAAAAAAAAAACAAGCATTTTAATAGAAGGGATTGTCTACAAAAGTGACCATAGGTCTTTTATACATAGAGGTCTCAATCATTCTTGTCTTCTAAATTTCAAAATGAGTGGTCCAATGAGTGTCATTGAATAGACAGTTTTAAAATAGAAAATCTCGGATTTTGCGACTCACTCCAAGCCATCCAATTTGACATCTAAAGAGTTAAAGTGATTGTGACCTTTATGTACGAAAGATTAATAGTCTCTTTATATACAATTCCATATAAAAATCCATTGTTTAATGACCTTAAAAAGATTATAAAATTACAAAAATCAGACTATGCAAAAATCAGGCTAAATCAGAGAATGTAGTTTGTAGAATTTGACGACTGCAGTCGAAACAACACGAAGATGACAGCATTGCTTAAAATCCTTTTTTTCTCTCTTTTTTAGGAAACATCATCTCAAGGTTGAGATGATGAACTTGGAGATTCTCCAACAGCTTTTTTTTCAGTTGGGTTTTGGGTATGTATTAACAGTATAAGATTCACATCTTTCATATTTTTCTTTCCATCTTTTTTCTCCACCCTAAAAGTACCAAGAAGTGCTAGCTGGTTTGGACAAAGTAATTGAATTAGTACGTTGGGTGGACCCATTCTATGGTGTAATGCCACTCTTGTTATCTTCCATTCAAATGCTAAATTATTTGTCACCAGCCATTACTTATCTTTTCTTTCATGCACCTTCTCCTCTCTTTCTTTCTTGGGTTTAGTTCTTCCAAACCATGAAGTCCCACCCTTTCACTTTCTTTCCTTTCAAAGTGTCAAGTCTCTTGTAATCTATAAAGAGTAATTCTTAACCACTTCTTGAAGTTTTTTGGTTTTGATTGTAAGCGTATCTTCAAGTTTTTGAACAATCTCTCCAACTCCCTTTCATTTCTTGGCAAAAACAATGATCTTTCCTTCTTTTCACTATGGTTTTCTTGATCTTCTACTCGGCCAAATCTAACCTTCATTTCTAATCTACTTGGCTCTAGGAGTCATTGTTCAGTGCTTCTAACTTACTCTTACGGTTATTTTTATTTCTTTAGGTCTTTTTCTGTCAAATTGATCATATGACCTTGACAAGAATGAAATTTTGTAAAAAAAAATAAAATAATTCTTCATTATCATCCAAGTTTTATCCCAATTAATTAGGGTCTGCTATATACTCCATTCTTTTCTATCAAGGTCATAAGTTCTGTAAAACCAAAAGCCTCAATTTCTTTTCTTACTACTTCTTTCTATATCGTTTTAGGCATTCATCTTCCCTATCTAGATATTTCTACTAGAACCAAACCACACCTCCAAACCGTGTTATATTAGGCGTACTATGGACATGTTGTTTCTTGATAGTACGACATTTTGCCCCATACAGCATGGCTTGTCATAAAGCAGTCATATGAACTTCCCCTTCA